TCCAGTTCTTCCACTGTTGCTGGAATTCCAGAAGCCAGAGTCAATTTTCTTGAATCAGACTCATCACCAAAGATTATCCGCAGAACAGTTTGACTCGCCATTATGGAACACTTTTAATCTGAGCATAAACAAGGGAGAAGGAGAATAATACATGAGCATTATGTGAAAATGTGTAAAATAATAACAGACTTAGAAATTTGAGGTACATAGGCTTAACAATGACACTAACCTTTAACGATGATGAATCTTTTCAACATTACCATGCGCAAACCCCCAATTGTGTACTCCACAAGGGGATATGAGTCTTCCAATTCAGCAACCTCAATCAGGGCAACCTCTCTAGTGGGTGAGGCAGTTAGCTCAAATCCACCGTAATGCTCCCTATACCAAGGACATAAATCTTTGACTAGAAAAAACAACTTTTCCTTAATAATGCACATTTGAATGATCTCATTAAATTTAGGCAGGCCATCTACAGAGCCATGCACAATAAGCATCCCCTCACTGTAACGTATACCACTGCAAGACACATTTTTTGCCATATAAACCTCAGTAATATCTGGGTATCTCTGCCTCAGTGCAGACACTACTCCCTCATTAAGAACATCAACAGGCATGATTGAAACATCTGTGACCTCTAATGATGACTTTTTGAGACTGGAGGAGTGTGTGTGGTAGGCAAGCATGAACTGGTGTTTAATAGCTAGTGAACGAGGTATATTTTTAAAGCAATTTGTATGACGAACAACCTTCTTGAAAAAGCTGTGTTTAGCCTCAAATCTCATTGTCCACAGTGCTATCAGAGGTCCGAAGCAACGAATCATCTGCGGATAGTGCTCTAAATAGTGATGTTTTGGTTGGAGCTTGATTTNAAATCTCATTGTCCACAGTGCTATCAGAGGTCCGAAGCAACGAATCATCTGCGGATAGTGCTCTAAATAGTGATGTTTTGGTTGGAGCTTGATTTATGGAAAAAGTTCAAGATACCGCTGTCTGTGATCATAAATCTTGGCCTCAAGACATGCAATTGTCTCATCTGTATGAAAAGGAGCCACAACCAACTCAACTACATCCTTAAGGTCAAGAATCACCTGCCATGCTGGCTCACCTTCTGGAACAATTTGCCCAATTATAAAAGGAAGCAATCTTAGCAAAGTCCAATTTCCATGTGCATTGCCACCAATACTGTTGCTTGATGTGAAAGTGCGAGGTATGGCATGGGGCCTATTGGTTTTGTCCACCCATTTGTACGGAAATGTCTGGATTAAGCTGTTAAGATCATTAAGAGTGAAGTATTTTTTGGAGATCAATAAACTAATGCAGCGTGCAAGCTCAACTGGAACAACACCCTCAAAGAGATCATGCACAATGTCAGGAGGATAACCAGTGTTAACATGAAAATATGAAAGGTGTTCTGTTAAAACACACTGTTTTTTGACACCACAGCAAATAGTTGAGTTCTCCTGAGCAGTCTGGACATGAACATCATGGATGTTTCTGGTTCTAAGTTGGAAAGCACCTGACTTGACATCCTTAGTCTGAAATTCTGATTTATCACCCGTACAAAATCTGCATATTGACCCAGCAGAAAAACTCTCAACAAATCCACTTATCCCATGAGCTGCAAGATTGTCGGCTATTACACACTGGACAGAACCTTTAGCAAACTGTCCAAGCTGAGAAATAAATACACCATGATTTTCTAAAATGCACAAGTCTTGCAAAAGTGGCTGCAACACTTTTTCATAGCCATAAGCCTTGACATCATCAGACTTGCAGAGAACAGCTAAATAGATCGAAGCTAGTGTTGAATGTGAACCTGGTGGAACATTACCTAAAACCCAATAGACACCACAGAGTTTGTGCTTCTTACGAGATGTCCCAAGAGGGTTACATATCTCAAAATTGTCAACATAAAGATTAATTGCTATTCTCAAACCTTCACCAATATCTCAAAATTGTCAACATAAAGATTAATTGCTATTCTCAAACCTTCACCAGACAGAAAATTATTTTGTTTATAGTACTCACCGTCTCTTACAGTTCTGTATTCACGGACACCAGTTGATAGCTGGTCTATTTTTGGAGTTTCAAGGTGTTCAAGGACACCTTTATGAGAGAGCAACTGTTGCAAAGATTGTAAAAAAGGGATATACTGAAATGTTCTATTTCTGTGGACATCTAGTATGTACTCAACCGGCTCTATAACACCGAAATGAGGCATATAGGCCCATCTTTTGCAATAGCTATGCCCAACGGGTTAGATTTGCACAGAAGAGTAGAAAGTTCATCAACTACTGACTCCTCAATTTGCAGTTTATGGCTCTGGAATATATCTGATACAATACTGTCACAGGCAAAGATACTGTACTTAATATGTAGTGAAGTTCTGAAAGGATCTCGTCAATAACTGCCTTTGGAGTGTGAACAATATTTTCCAACTTCAATAAAAGGCAAGCAATTTTCTCTTCAATTAAATTTGGCAGGTGTAATTCTACAGCATCACCACTACCTAGTGTTTCATTTTCATAATCTCCATCCACAGACTCTGTTGATCCATCTTCAATGTCTGACTGATGTAACTGATTGCTTGTCCTGATTATATTAGCTTTAAAGTCTTTTAATGAATGTTGGTTGTGTTTCCTGTTTTTGTGCGTGTTGAACGTACTGTAGATATTAGTTTTAAATGTGCATCCTACAAACACACACTGAACTGTTTCATAATTCCTGAGATGTCCATTGATGTGTTGAAAAAAGTCCCTTTCTGTTGCTAGTTCTCTGCATGAGCACACATGGCACTGGAATGAAGATACTTCCACCTGTTTTGAAGTTTGCTGCTTAGCATGAGTTTTATATGTGTGATTTAGTAGCTTATTCCATGTGTTAAACGTAGACAGGCAATCTGTGTATGGACATGGATATCGATAACTGCCCCTAAAATGCCCGTGAGTCTGCCTAAAATGCTGCAACAGTAAATACCTGCTAGCTAGTTCCAAACTGCATTCTTTGCACTGCCACATGTATTATTCTGAAAAGGAGAACAAAGACAATAAGCATATTTTACACCAAACAAATGACCATAATACAGATCAGCTTGTGCCAATTACTCACTATCAGTAGGAGGCTGCCCCAAGAAGCTTTGTAATGCTGATCAAACTGCAAAAGATGAAATAAATACATTAGAGGTGCAAATTCACTTGCTGGAATTCTGAAAAGGTTACAATGACAACTTTGCATTTGACCACTCAGCAATGTAAAGGACAAACTAACATTTTTATTAGATTAGCAATGATTTTACAGCAGCACTGAAAGTACATATAATAAAACAAGCATGTAAAAAAATAAACTCTGCCAATTTTATTTAAAGAAAACAATAATAATAATAATAATAATACGTTATAGTACACTTATTTCATCAAATGTTTGTTAAGGCA